AGGATTATAGGCATGAACCACTTCACCTGGCCCCAATGAGTATCCTTTGTCATCTCACTCCTCACTCTGCTGGGGAACTTAGACCAGAAAATGCAAGTAATATGGCCTAGTATTTGTGACTTCTAAATACAACATGGACACTGATTCCCACATAAAATTTGCCTTTGGTCTAGACCCATTCCAGACATAAGGCCATGCTCCCTTCTTCCAAGGAGGGTGTGGAAACTGAGTCCCAGCCTTAATTGACTTGGGAAGTGTGCAAGTGGACTGAATAAGCACAGTAATGTGGCATATTCCCCCAGTCCAGACACTTACATTAGCCCCAATGCCCTGAATAACCTGAGGGACGAAGTCTTTTCACATTCTGTTTTTGGTCTCTCCTCTGCTACATATGACTGGCAATGATAGCCTTCTTTAAAGGGACTTCATAAGCACTGACAGTGAAGATGAAATATTATTAAATACTAATCTAGTTATATATAGTATAGAAATAAAATGTTCTGGTAAAAGCGAACCACCTTTGGCTGAGGCCAGAGTAACAAAGAACCTCACCCTTCAGAGGAATTATGTTTCACAGATCCCCGGGGATGAAGTTTTTCTAAAGGAAATCTCAGAATTTAGTGAAGAATGCTCTGTTATCTTCTCTTCCACCAACCCTTTGAAAAACAGGAAACATCTTGGATTAAGCATTTTTGCAAATAATGAGTAAATATTTGTGATATGGGGCTTATATATTGTTACCAACTATTTACTTTTCCAAAAATGATTTATAAAAACTGCATGATAGGAAAATTTTAATATGGTACTGAATATAGTTTTAGATCATTCTAATTATTGAAAACATGAGGGCAAGCAATGCGGTAAAATGCCCAAATGCAACCCAAAGTAGCCCTCCCTCGGAGGGCACTGACTCACTGGAGAGATCCCTTAGCTCATGTAGTCTTTTGGCAGATAATTATTGGACAGCTTCTATATGCTGAGCTTTCTGCTGGATTGCATCAAATTGTGCAAATGTAATGGAATGTGTAGAGAAATGTTTTTGAGCAGAGGACGGATAAAGGAAACTCCCAATTGATGTTTCAAGCCTATTCCTGAAAGGTCAGCAGAGGAGTAAAGTACACGGAATTAAATCTTTATATGACAAAAGTAAAACTGTTTTTTCAAACCCCTGACTTACTATGTGCCTACTTCAAACCACGATGCCATATGAAATTTTAAATTATCTTGGAGATGGTTTGAGAGACTTTTATCGGAATCTGGTTCACCAGAAAAGATTGTTTCCAAAACACATGTAGTATCAGTGAACTGAGTGCTTTTTTCCTAGGAGAATCAGCCCCAGAAGCAGTACGTAAAATAGCGTCTTAGTGAGGAAGGAGGTGTCCTTTCGGTTGCCCTTACACTTGCCACCCAAGTCATGACTAAACCTCCTCTCATTCATTCACTCAGCAATGTTATTAATACCTGCTAAGTGCATGGTATTATCTAGGCTCTGAGTGGGAGAGTTCCTGTGCTCAGGAACTTAAAATCTTGTAAATATTTTATAAATGGTGTATACATAAAAGTGCTTTGGTGGGTGCATTCACCTTGTGAAAATCCAACAAGCTGCATTAGGATTTATGCCCTTTTCTGTGTGTGTGTTATATGTCAAGAAAAGTGCTTCGGAAATTCAAAATTGGAAGACGTTACTTCCAGCCAAGAGAATAGGGGAATGCCTTTACAAAGAAGTTAATTTTCTGGCTTTATGTTATGTTGTTACTGAGAGTTCATCATAATCGGGATGAGGTGGTTTTATTTTTAGGTAAGCAGATGAAGTCATCATTATCATCATCATCAGAGCAGCTACTACTTACTAAGAACTTACTATGTGGGAGTGCCAGGTGTCATCTGAGTTCTTTGTGAGTGCTAACCTGCTTGAGCCTCATAGCAGCCCTGTGAAATTAGGTTACTATTACTGTCTCCTTTTGACAGTGGCAGAAATTGAGACACAGTGACATTGAATAACTTGCCCAAGGTCATTCAGCTAAATAAGGGTGGGGCCAGGATGCAAACTGCTTAGTCCAGCTTGTCTCTTATCCAAACAGTAGCAGTCCTCAAAATGTGGTCCGGGAACCCTTGTGTATCCTAAGATCCTTTCAGGGAGTCCACAATGTCAAGCCTGTATTCATAATCATAGGAAGACATTATTTGCCTTTTTCATTCTCATTCTCTCAAGAGTGTACGATGGAATTTTCTAGAGCCTATATGATGTGTGCTATCACAACAAATTGAATGCAGAAGCAGATACAAGAATCCAGCTGTCTTCTGTTAAGCCAGACACTGCAGAGGTTTACAAAAATGGACAACAATGCCATTCTTCTAACAAATTTTCTTGTTTTGCAAAATGTATTTATTTTTCATAAATTACATTATTCGCATCAACTTTTAATGGGCCTATTATTGCCTTTTTTTTTTTGAGACAGAGTCTCACTGTTACCAGGGCTAGACTACAGTGGCATGATCATAGCTCACTGCAACCTCCAACTGCTGGGCTCAAGCAATCCTCCTGCCTCAGCCTCCCGAGTAGCTACAGGTTCTAGCCACCATGCCCGGCTAATTTTTTTTTTATTTTTAGTAGAGATGGGGTCTCGCTCTTGCTCTTGATCAGGCTGGTCTCAAACGCCTGAACTCAAGTGATCCTCCCACCTCAGCCTCCCAGAGTGCTAGGATTACAGGCATGAACCACTGTGCCTGGCCCTATTATTGCTTTTAATAAATCAATAAATACTTTAAACATTTTTTCAGTTCCAATTTTTAATGTGGCAAATATCTGTAGATATAATCCACATGCACATGGCTCTTTTGGAGTCCTCAATAACTTATAAAGAGTATAAAGGTGTCCTGAGACCAAAAAGTCCTGAGAACCATAGCCCTACATGGTTCTGCCTTAGGGGGTGACCACCAAAAAACTGGTTTTATGGTCTTGGTAGCACTTTGGGGTCCGCTCCACCTGTTTGACCTGTCATGTAAAAATTTATCCTTCCTTTTCTCCTGTGAAGCTGGGCACAATAATGCTGACATCCTGGGGTGGCCATGAGATTGAATGAGAGAATGCAAGGAAAGTGCTTAGTGCAGAGTAAGCACTCAACCTGTGGCCCAGAACCAGGAACTTTTCTTGTGTTACCTGCAGGTGATGGAATTTTACTGCCAGTCCTGTGAGACCGCCATGTGTCGGGAGTGCACTGAGGGGGAGCACGCAGAGCACCCCACCGTCCCGCTCAAGGACGTGGTGGAGCAGCACAAAGCCTCGCTCCAGGTCCAGTTGGATGCCGTCAACAAAAGGTGCGGCACCCCTCCCCCAGGTCCCCACTGGCTGCCTGTGCACAAGGCCTGGCCTCGTGGTCTCTTGCCTTAGTGCAATAGTAGGTTCATGTTACCCTTGAGGTGTCAGGCTGTGTGTCATGAATACATTCTCCTTTGATTATGGGTCTGTCATCATAGCTAGTGAGTGATGAAAGTTGTTCATCACTGCCCCTTGGTAAAATTCCAACCTCCTTATGTTACAAGTGGTAGCATTTTTGTTTTAGTACCTTAGTATGAGTCAATGAATTAAAGTACACTCAAAGAGAATTCATGCCTGAAGAGCCTTCGTTAGCTGCTATTCCTGACTCACAGGCCCACTGTGTCGGCTGTGATCGCCTCCTTTCCTTTTGAGCCCTGCAAAACAGTCTTGAGCAGCAATTGGTCAATTTTCCTCATGTTTTTCTGCTTCTAGGCTCCTTCTTTGGCCTGGAAATGAAGGAACAGAGTAGCAGTGTGGTGCATGAGAAAGACCAAAGACAGGAAACAGACAGCCAGCTGAAAAGCAGACAAATCTCTTCACCAATAGCTGTAGTGAGAACAGTGGTTATTCTATACTAATTAAAATAACTTGGAAACATAGGAGAAGTTTCCAGGAAACTTTGAGTTTGGAAAAGTTTTTTATGTGGCTGGGGAAAATGTTATAGCTATACATCCAAAGTAGTGGTTCTCAAGCATGGGCGATTATGCCCCTTAGGGGACATCTGGCAATGCCTGCAGACATTTTTGGTGTCACAATGGTGTGCTGGGGTGCTATTGGCATCTGGTGGAGGACAAGATGCTGTTAAACATCCTCCAGTGCACTGGACAGCCCCCTGCAACAAAGAATTACCTGGCCAGCATGGCCTTTCAGAGAGCTTCAAGTCTTTGTGCCATCAATTATTCAAATTAGATGATTGAAGAGAGTTTGAAATAGATGTAGACCCTCAAACTCTCTTCTTTCAAAAAAAATAATTATTTCATGTCTTATTCATTCTGTTCTTTGGTTGTTACTCTTTTTAAAGATGATGAAAGGCATAGAAAAAAAATTTTTTTTGACAAAATATGGTGTTTGGATAGATTTTGGAATATTTGCGGGTTGAGGTTAAATAATCATCTGTAACGACTGTCCCCCCAGGCTCCCAGAAATAGATTCTGCTCTTCAGTTCATCTCGGAAATCATTCATCAGTTAACCAACCAAAAGGCCAGCATCGTGGATGACATCCATTCCACCTTCGATGAGCTCCAGAAGACTTTAAATGTGCGCAAGAGTGTGCTGCTTATGGAACTAGAAGTCAACTATGGCCTCAAACACAAAGTAAGACTCCAGTTATCCTCCAGAAATGGATCTTTAGGTGTCACCATTGTATAGTAAACTATTTTTCACTTAATGGAATAGCCAGCTATCTTTTTCTTTCTTGTTTTCAGCAAAACTCTATGATCCTGTGACCTTAAGTACCAGTTCATAATTTTACAAAAGGCAAGGTTGAATTAATACTATGAGGATTTAGGGTTAAACTGGATTGTTTCCCTTCCTCAATTATAATATGAAATAGTCTCTTAATTGCTCTCTGAGCTACACCAACCTGTTAGTCAACTTCCAAATGAACACTGACTGCAGCCTTTGTTTAACTCTGCATTCTCAAAACCCCGGGGATGAAAATCTTAGGCCAGTCAGGTGTGGAGAGTTTTTATTCGTTTAGTTTCTGTTCCTTTAGGTAGTGTCGATGGAGCTTTGGACATTAGGGAAAGGTAGAGAATAATGAATATTTCAGATGTCAGGCATAGCAATTCGTTTGCCAGCAGTTGTAGTGACGTTTCGGTTTGTCTCTATCCAAAACACATGACCCAAGAAATACATGACGTTTCTGTTTGTCCCGATCCAAAGCACATGACCGAAGAAATACATGTGTGGGAGAGAGCAGGCGGGGCGGAAGGGGAAACTCGGGAATGCAGTTTAGGATTTTGCATTAGAACTGGGTTCCCCGGGTGAGCTGAAATACCACTTGCCTGCGCGGGCAGGTGGAGGCAGGACTCGTCCCAGGGCCGAGCTCGCGCCCTGTCGGAAGGAAGCGCTCACAGGCCGCGGTTTCCCACAGGTCCTGCAGTCGCAGCTGGACACTCTGCTCCAGGGGCAGGAGAGCATCAAGAGCTGCAGCAACTTCACGGCGCAGGCCCTCAACCACGGCACGGAGACCGAGGTGCTGCTGGTGAAGAAGCAGATGAGTGAGAAGCTGAACGAGCTGGCCGACCAAGACTTCCCCCTGCACCCGCGGGAGAACGACCAGCTGGACTTCATCGTGGAAACCGAGGGGCTGAAGAAGTCCATCCACAACCTGGGGACGATTTTAACCACCAACGCGGTGGCCTCGGAGACGGTGGCCACGGGCGAGGGGCTGCGGCAGACCATCATCGGGCAGCCCATGTCCGTCACCATAACAACCAAGGACAAGGACGGCGAGCTGTGCAAAACCGGCAACGCCTACCTCACCGCCGAGCTGAGCACGCCCGACGGCAGCGTGGCGGACGGGGAGATCCTGGACAACAAGAACGGCACCTACGAGTTTCTGTACACCGTCCAGAAGGAAGGGGACTTCACGCTGTCCCTGAGGCTCTACGACCAGCACATCCGGGGCAGCCCGTTCAAGCTGAAGGTGATCCGCTCGGCCGACGTGTCTCCCACCACCGAGGGCGTGAAGCGGCGCGTCAAGTCCCCGGGCAGCGGCCACGTGAAGCAGAAAGCCGTGAAAAGACCCGCGAGCATGTACAGCACCGGGAAGCGAAAAGAGAACCCCATCGAGGACGATCTGATCTTTCGAGTGGGTAAGGACAGCCCGAGCGCGGCCCTGGCGAAGGGGTGACCGGGGGAGGTGTCACTGCACGTGGGAACCTTGCAGCGCGGAACTTCTGCCCGAAGGCGTTGGGAGACATATGGATATAAAATTCGATATACTTTATTAGGTCGGTTTATATAGCCTCCTTCTCCACAGATGCCATTTCCTCCTCCTCCTCCCGCTCCTCCTTCTCCTTTTTAACACGCTGCATTGTAGAAATTCACAAACTGGAAATAAGCAAAAGAGATATAGAAAAATCACACATTAATCTGGAAATTTTAATGGAAATATTGGCAATCTCCCCGCACCCCCCAGTGTCTTTGGAGTGCTGGCTAACCCACAGGTAGAGAGCACCTTATCCCTCAGGTAAGACGTTTTTTCCTGAAATCTGCCAGCTCCAGCTGCACCTGGGGTCTCCCTGTCACTGCTTCTGCATTGCAGTGGGGTGGGGGGCGGTGGCGCCTTGCAAGTTGCCATCACCTTCAGCTGTACGCAGCTGGAGAGCAGCCCCAGCGAGGGGAAGTTGGGTGGAAACTTGGAGAAGAAAACGAGGTTGGGGCGGGTCTGGGGTGGAAGCAAAAGAGGTGCAGAATGAGCCAAGAGAGTTGGAAATGCACAGAGCCCTTCCCTCTTGATTTATTGTCCCTGTCTCTCTCTTTTTTAAAAACTGCCTATGTTCTCAGTAGAAAGCAAACTAAATGTAAACAACAAAGTGCTGGATAATTCTTAAGGGGAAAACAGTCTGCATTTTAGTTGGTTTCAGAAAATAGTTCCAGCATGCTTCTCTTTCTCCCTCTTCAGTCTTACATTGCAGTGTCTCTGAAAGGGTGAGGCATAGCATGTTAACTGCCACGTATAGAAAAACAAGTCTGTAGCTCCAATAAATTGGCTAAGTGAAGGAAACAGATTTTTTACTGCAGAGCTTCTCAGGACCTTTAGAATCCACTAATGTGCACTATAAGCCTCTGAGGCGGGAGAGGGATAACAGGCAGCACTTCCAAACTTTTCTGACCATAGAACTTTTTTCCATGGAGCAACTTGGGAAACTAAGGCTTCTCGGAAAATTCTTGGACAAAGCTGTTCTATGTTAATAGTTCAGACTGAATCTTGGTAAAGACTGTGGTGCGATATGTAACTTGTCTGTTCAGAGTATGGAGGTCCTCATACATTCGCTGGCCGTATGTGCAGTGTAAGTACAGAGATTGTTGCTACACCCCAAAGCAGAGTAGACAAGCTGGGGCAGGTGCAGAATTGGGAGCCTCCCAGCTCTGTCACTCCGGTTCCACTACTTACTTGAGCCTTGGGCAGATCTTTCTGCTTCCCTGAACTTCAATTTCCAAGTCCATACAAGGAAAATGCAAAAATATCTGCTTCTTAGAACTAAGCTCTAAGTTCTGAGTTTAATGCCGCACATGCAGGAGGAGCTAAGTAAATGAGAGCTATTGTTTTGGCATGTGTAATTGTTAGGACTCTTAGATTCTCCCTACTACCTTTTCTTTTCAAAAAATTTCACTTGCTGCTCCCCATCGATCTCCTGCATTAAGACTAAACTCCTTCTCCCATTCAAGCGCTCACCCCACACCCCCAGCCAAGACCCCTGTTGTCTTCCCTAGGCAGTGTGCAGAGTGGCAAAAGGCTTAGATGTGAATTGGTCAGATCTAGGTCTGAATCCTGATTCTTCTCGCCAGCTGGGCATTGGCTTGCCCTTTCTGAACCGTGTTTTCTCCTCTGTAAAACAAAGAGAATGAAAAATATTACCTAAATCTTAAGGTTGCTGTGGGGATGAAATGAGAGAGAATTCTTGTAATATGCCTGGCACTTGCCTATGTACAATAAGTACTCAATTAATGGCAGCTAAGATTCTGCTATGTTGTTGTTACTAATCATTACCATCTCCACCTCTGACACCCACCTAAGGAAAGAGGCATGTCTCATAGGGGTATTTCCCCCACAACTATGTTGGTTTTGAGTCCCTACCTCCCACCCCAGAGGGGAGGGGATAAACTCTTCTCCCCTCCTACCCATTGAGAAATGGAGCTATAGTGACTCACTGACACTAGTGGAGGGTGTTTAAATGTTTAAACATTTGTAAAGAACTCAGAGCCGTGCCTGGCATGCAGCATGATGTCTGAGTTTGTTTGTTTGTTTGTTTGTTTTTTAGACAGAGTGTTTCTCTCTCACCTGGGCTAGAGTACTGTGGCATCAGTGTAGCTCACAGCAACCTCCAACTCCTGGGCTCAAGTAATTCTCCTGCCCCAGCCTCCTGAGTAGCTGGGACTACAGGCACACGCCACCACGGCCAGTTAATTTTTCTATTTTCATAGAGATAGGTCTCGCTCTTGCTCAGGCTGATCTCAAACTCCTGACCTCAAGCAATTCTCCTGCCTCCACCTCCCAGAGTGCTAGGATTACAGGCGTGAGCCACCGAGCCCGGTCAATGTCTGAGTTTATCAATGAAGTAAAGATGCTGTCTTAGTTCGCTAAGACTGCTATAACAAAATACTTATAGTCTTGATGGCTTAAATAACAGACATTTATTTTCTCGCAGTTCTAAAAGACTGGAACTGTTTTAGAGTGAGAATTCCAAGGTCAAGGTGCTAGAAAGGTTGGTTTCTTCAGAGGCCTCTGCCCTTGGCTTGCAGATGGCTGCCCTCTTGCTGCTTTGTCCTCACATGGTCATTCCTCTGTGGCTGGCACCCTTGGTGTCTCTTCCTCTTCCTCTTCCTCTTCTTACAAAGACACTAATCATATTAGATTAGGGCCCCGCCTTAACAACCTCATTTTAACTTCATCACCTCTTCTTCAAATACAGTTCCATTCTGAAGTGCTGGGAGTTGGTGCTTCAATATATGAATGGGGAGGAGGGGCATACCTCAGCCTCTAACTGAGGCCGATGCCATACACCTCAGGCATGTAGGAGCAGAAAGAAAAGCACGGGTTACTGGCCTATTTCTCTCTCTCTCTCTTTATTTTTTTTTTTTGTAATTGACAAGTAAAAATTGTATATATTTATGGTATACAATATTTTTTATATATGTATATACTTTGTGGAATGGCTAAATCAGGTTAGCATATGCATTACCTCATACTTTTTTTTGTGGTGAGGACACTTAAAATCTACTCTCATCAATTTTCAAGTATATAATATATT